GATAGATAGATAGATAGATAGATAGATAGATAGATAGATAGATAGATGGGTATAGATCATTGTCAACCAGAGGAGAGGTTAGTGAATTGATCAAAAGATCTGTCTTTGGACCTGTGCTGTTTCACATTTTTATGTCTGACCTGGAGGGAGATACAGACACCATGTTTTTTTTTTCTTTCTCAGTTTTACAGATACCTCAAAGACCAGAGTCAGAACTGGTATATTGGATGTTAGAGTCAAAATCTGAAAAATCAAGTCAAGAAGTATTTATTTATTTATTTTTGGCTAGGTGATGGGGTTAAGTGACTTGCCCAGGGTCACACAGCTAGTGAGTGCCAAGTGTCCGAGGCTGGATCTGAACTCAGGTCCTCCTGACTCCAGGGCCGGTACTCTATCCACTGTGCCACCTAGCTGCCCCAAGAAGTATTTATTAAGTGGCTATTAAATACCAGTCATTGTGCGGCACTAGAGATACAAAGAAAAACAGTCCTTATTCTCAAGGAACTGACAGTCTATGGAAGAGATAACATGCAAACAATTGTATACAAACAAAATATGTTTGTGCAGAAGTGGAGATATTCCAAGAGGGAAGGTACTAAAATTAAGAAGGATTAGAAAAGGCTTCTTGAAGAAAATAGGATTTTTAATTGAGACTTGAAGGAAGCTAGGTGGCCCAGAGGATAGAGTGCCAGGCCTGGAATCAAGAAGACTCATCTTCCTGAGTTCAAATCTGGTCTTAGATACTGACTATCTGTGTGACCCTAGGCAAGTCACTTAACATCATTTGCCTCAGTTTCCTCATCTGTAAAATGAGCTGGAGAAGGAAATGGCAAACCACTCCAGTATCTTTGCCAAGAAAACCCCAAATGGGGTCACGGAGATCTGGACATGACTGATAAAAGACTGAACTGAACTGAACTGAGGGAAGTCAGAAAGTGGAGATGAAGAAGGAGAGAATTACAGACATGGGGGATAGCCAGTAAAAATGCACAGAGTCAGGAGATTTAGTGTCTTGTGCAAGGATCAAGAAGATGACTAGAATTACTAGATCACAGAGTATGTTGAGGGGAGTATAAGGTATATGAAGACTAGAAAGGTAGAAAGGAGTCAAGTTATAAATAGCTTTAAAAGCCAAACAGGATTCTATATTTGATCCCAGAGGTAATAGGGAGTCACTGGAGTTTATTGAGTAGGTCAGGGGTACGGGGGTTTGGCATGGTCAGACCTGTGCTTTAGGAAGATCACTTTGATAGCTGAATGAGGTAAGATTAGAGTGGGACGAGACTAACCAGAAAACGATTGCATAGTCGAGGTGTGAGGTGATGAGGACCTGTACCAAAGTGGTGCAAGTGTCAGAAGAGACAAAGGAACATATATAAAAGACGTTGTGAAGGTAGAATCAACAGAACTTGGCAACAGATTGGACTGGTTGGGGGGAGTGGTAAGATAGAGTGAGGATTTGAGGATGACATCCAGGTTGTGAGCCTGGGTGAGTAGGAGGATGGTGGTACCCTCAATAGTAATAGGGAAATTAGGAAGAAGGGAGAACTATAGAGGAAAGAAAGATGCCAGCAGTCTAGAAATAGCCTGACTTTAGTAGGAAGAAATTTTATTAAGATAAGTTTAAAATCTCATACTTGCATTAAAAGAATCATGTGCACATGTACTGAATGGGGGTCATGTGTCTATCTGGGCCAAGAGTGGGGAACCTGTGACCTTGAGGCAACATGTGGCCTTCTAGGTCCTTGGGTGCAGCCTTTTGACTGAGTCTAAGTTTTACAGAACAAATCCTTTTATTAAGGGGATTTGTTCCGTGAAGTTTGGATTCAGTCAAAGGGCTGCACTTGAGGATCTAGAGGGCCACATGTGGCCTCAAGAGTGCAGGTTCCTCACTTCTGAGCTAGATTATATCCAGAGGAGGGTGACTTAGACTATGAGAAGACTAGAGACTGTATCATATTTGGATCGGTTGTTGGAATTGTGAATGTAGCCTGCAGAGAAGAAGACTTGGTAGGGGCATCATTACTGTTTCTAAGCATTTGAAGTGCTCCCAGATAAAAGGATTAGACTTGTTCTATTTCCCAGGTTTGTTTTGAGGAAAAGTGCTTTGCAGACCATAATATATGTTGTTTTGTTATAACTTAGCCACAGAGGTTGCCAATTACAGAGACAAGTTTCAGCTAGTTCAAAGGAAAACTTTTCTGACAATCAGAGCTGCCAAAAAATAGAATAATTGGGGCAGCTAGGTGGCACAATGGATAGAGTGCTGGTCCTAGAGTCAGGAAGACTTGAGAAATGTGACCTTGGACACTTCCCTGGACAAACTCATTTAACCTCTGTTTGCCTCAGTTTCTTCATTTGTAAGATGGGGATAATAATAGCACCCAGAGTTGTTGTGAGGATCAAATGAGATAATAGTTCTAAAATGCTTAGCATATTACCTAGCACATAGTAAGCACTACATAAATGCTAGCTATTATTATTATTATTATTGTTAATAGAGTAGTGAGTCCCCTATCCATGGAGGTTTTCAGGCAGAAACTGAATGACCAATTGTTGTGGACTTTGTACAAAGGATTCCTGTATGATCTCTGAGGTCTCTTCTAACTCTGAGATGGTAGAAAGAACAACTGTTTCAATGGCATAAATACCATGATGGAATGTTGTTTGTTTGTTATTTTTTTCCCCCTTGCTTCTGCACATCCTCAGCCACCTAGCAAGTTGGTTGGCAGAAAGTAAAATGTTTAGACTAGTACAGCTTAGCTTTGTGGTTAGAAAGAGGAAATGCAGAATAAAGAAGCCAGGGCTTTCTTAGTTGGAGAAATTTCATGAAGCGTTGGCCTTACAGTCAGAAAAACCTGTGTTCAAATTCCACCTCTGACCTTACTAGCCTGTACCTATGGACATCCCAACCTCTCTGAGCATTAGTTTTCTCATCTGTAATATGAGGAGAATAATACCTGTTAACATCTACCTGAAAAGGTGGGTTATTAGGAGGCCTGAGTGAGATGATGTATGTAGTAAAAGACTGTGGAACTCTCAGAAAGCTATATGAGTGAGAGCTATTATGAGCTGGCTTTCTGAGACAGCTCAACTTGAACAGGGGTCATTTGACTTGTATCTTACAATGTCTTAGAGATCAGGCAAAAATAGCTAGCTGTCTGGCCTTTGGTAATGCTGGTTGAATGTCTCTTCTTTCTCCTCAGCGCAATGCCAAGGCATCTGTATGAATGGCTCCCGCTGCAAACAGTCCTGCGAGAAGCCCTTCCATGGAGAAATAGGATTCACATGTAATAACAAAAGGTGGCAAAAATCCATTGAGACATGCACAAGTCTTACTGTCCAAACACTTTTTCAGGTGATGGTACATTTCTTACATTAATGGGTATGGGCCAATGAAAGGTAATGATAAAAAGTTGGTGGGGGGAAGCTGACCTTATCAGTCTGGAGAATAATTACACCTCAAGCTTCATTCATAAGCTTTTGTGAAGCATAGGTAAGCTTTGATGCCATAATAGAGATATTTCTGATGAGTTCAGTCTAGTACTACACTGGGAGGCTACTTGGCATGGTGATTATGGTACTAGACGTTAAGCCAAAATGTCCTGAGTTTGAATCCTTCCTCAGATACTTACTAGCTATGTGACCCTGGGCAATTAATTTGATTTCTCTCATCCTCAGTTTTCTTATCTGTAAAGTATGAATATTAATAGTACCTACTTTTCATAATTGTGAAGGACTTGTGAGAACCAAATAAGAAAATATATGTAAAGCACTTCGCAAATCTTAAAGCCCTATGTACATGTTAGTTACAATTATTATTATTATTATTATTGCTTTTTTTGGTGAAGCAATTGGGGTTAAGTGATACAATTATTCTTTAGGAAAAATCTTAAAGTTTGTCATACACCAATAATACTACTAGGACTATCCCACAGCTAGCCCTAAATCTCCAGATTCTTCTTTCTTTCCTTCTTGATCAGGCTTCTCCTTCACCCTTGTGCCATTCAATACCTTTAATCTCTTGCTATAAAAATTTACTTTCAAAAAAGAATCTGAAAATGGCAGAAGTGTAAAGAGTTGTTTCTTCCTGGAACAGCTAGTGGCTCAGTAGATAGAGTGCTGGCCTTGGAGTCAGGAAGACTCATCTTCCTGAGTTGAAATCTGGCCTCAGATATTTCCTAGCTCTGACACCCTGAGCAAGTCACTTAACCCTATTTGCCTCAGATTCTTCATCTGGAAAATGAGCTGGAAAAAGAAATGGCAAGCCACTCTCTTTGCCAAAAAAGAGTCAGACATGACCGAACAACAATACCCACATGTATACTCACAAACACACACATATATGTGTATATATTATATATAATATATAATATATACACATACAAACACAGATAATTTAAATTATATTTATATATAATGTATATATTACATTAGATAGATGGATAGGTAGGTAGGTAGATAGATAAATAGATAGGTAGATAGATAGATAGATAGATAGATAGATAGATAGATAGATAGATAG